GGGCCGGTCTTGCGATCTTAAGGGCTGGGGGGCGGGGCGCTCTGAGGTGGCGCTAAGGGCCGGGGGTCAGAACACTCTGAGGTGGCGCTAAGGGCCGGGGGGTAGGGCGCGCTGAGGCGGCGCTAAGGGCTGGGGGCGTGGGGCTCTTTAAGGCAACACTAAGGGGGAGGCAGGGTGCTCTGAGACTGTCCCCCGCTCCCTTGCTAAGGGGCTATTTTAAATGGCCCTGGGCTCACAAGGGGCAACAGAGTGGAAGGGCAGAGACCCAGCCCAGAGGCTGGTGGAGAGAGGCCCCAAGCTTCACCCCCAGGCCGAAGGGGAGGGCTGTTCCCAGTGGGGCTGAGCACCTCACACTAACATCTCAGCTGGGCAGCCAGTGAGTCATCGTAGCCCTCAGGCCACAACATAAGAATGACCAGGCCCAAGGTCCATCAAGTCCAGTGTCCTGCCTGCCCACAGTGTCCCAGAGGGAGTGAACAGAACAGGGAATCATCACAGGATCCCTCCTGTTGCCTATTCCTACCCCTGACAAACAGAGACCAGGGACACCCTCCCTGCCCAGCCTGGCTAATAGCCATTGATGGGCCCAACGTCCATGAAATTATCTAGTTCTTTGAACCGTTACAGTCTTGGCCTTCTTCTGGCAGGAAGTGCCACAGATTGACTTTTCTGTGTGAGGAAATACTTCCTTTTGTTTTGAACCTCTTACCTGTTAATTTCATTTTGTAACCCCTAGTTCTTAAAACAAGTAAATAACTTTTATTTACTTTCTTCACACTAGTCATGATTTTATACATCTTTGTTGTATCTCCCCTTGGTCATCTCTTTTCCAAGATAGAAAGTCCCAATCTTATTAATTTCCTCTCAAATGGCAAGATATACTCCTAATCATTTATCTTGCCCCTTTCTGAACTTTTTCTAATGCCGAGATAGTAAGATAAAGGACAAACAAAAGCCCATGTAGCACAGGTCTGATTTGAGGCCTGAGACTTACCTATATTAGTAAAGTCTTGAGTATTGTTAAAGCAAAGCTAACCTGTGACCAAGAGGCAGGCCCTTGCTCACAGAACTTGGCCTGAACAGGGCTGAGTGTGTAAAACACTAATTGGTAATAGGCACAGACGTAGAATCGTAACTGGTACTAGGTACCGGCTATAACAGCAATTGGTACTGGTCATAAGCTGAAAGCATATTCCAAAAAGATGGTAACATCAGCTCATTAAAAATAACCTTGGTCTCTACACTCCCCACAAATACCAACCCCGGGTCCAGGATAGGTCCAGAAAATGACAGCATGTTGGATAGAGATGTTCTAATTGAACCACAAGGTGCAGGGTGATGGGTGGTATCTAAGTACTATCAAATGGTGGAAACCTCAAAGGGTGGGAGAGATGAGTAACTTGTTTGTAACCGAAGCTTCAGGGGGTAGCCAAGTTAGTCTGTTACAGGAAAAAACAACAACAAATGGTCTGGTAGCACTTTATAGACTATGTGGTAGCACATTGGAATTACAATTCATCCGCAATGCAATTCACATGCTAATGGACTCAATTGTGATGAAAGTCGGCTGGAACACTACCAATTTAACAGCCATTGAAGGTGCAGACAACTCTGTGTAGTATCCTTCCTGACATGGGAGTCTATCTATTGACTTTGATCCTTATCTGCTTCAGTTTAACTATCCAATCTTCAGATACTTACTGATGCTGTCTCCCACCCTCCTCCCTTTTTCTTCACTCTCCCCTTCACTTCCCCTCTCCTATTTATTTTGGGTGTACACATCCTAAACTCATAACTCCGGTCATCCGAAGAAGTGGGCTGTGCCCACGAAAGCTCATAATACCATCTACATGTTTTGTTAGTCTATAAAGTGCTACCAGACCATTTGTTGTTTTTGTTTATAACTGTATATATAAAGTGGTGTCTTGGCAGGGCTGTCTTTGTCCGGCCTAAGGGGCAGTGATAGATTCTCATGACACTGAGCCATGTCCATTGTCAGGGGAGTATATAGGTATTGTGGTTGGGTAGAGTCTACTGCCAACTATTACTGTACTTTGACAATAAACCTGGCCCTGCACCTTCAATCATCTGATTTTGGGGGCTCTCTTGGAGTCAGCTGTGTTAACTACTTGCACAAGTCAACACATGCAGCCAAATGATTATCATCTAGGGAGCAGGAGACCTGTCAGGACATTACACCAATAAATCCTGAGTGACTACTACAGTGCACACAGTATTCAAGATGTGGGCATACCATCAATTGATATAGAAGCAATAAGATATTTCTGTCTGATTCTCTATCCTTTTGATTTGTTTTTGACAGGTGCTATGGATATTCTCAAAACTTTCCACAATGTCTAACATCTCTCTCGAGTGATAACAGGTAAAATTAATCTGCCATTTTATTGCCTAGTCATAAGTGAGATCCTTTTGAAGTTCTTCACAGCCTCAACTGTCGTGAGTAGGTTGTTTCATTTGCAAATTTTGCCACTTTTGCCCCCTTCTCCAGGCCATTTATGAATGTGTTCAATAGGATTGGACACCACTAGTTATCTCTTTTCATTCTGAACACTGACCATTTATTCCCATTTATCCACTAACCATTTATCTTAAAGACTAACTGGTGTATTTGGGCCTATGCTTTCATAGGCAAAGACACCCCCCCACACACTTTGTCTGGTGCGTCTGATGAAGCGGGTCTTTAGCCCGTGAAAGCTTTTGCCCAAATAAGTGTGCTAGTCTTTGATGCTACTGGACTAGTTTTTGCGGATTTTTGACATGTCCTTAGGCAGGAAAGGGCTCAGAACTCTCCTCCACAAAGGGCTAGTTGCATAACCACCTCTTTCCACTCTCCCCTGGTGCCACAACAAACTGTATCCACTTTCAAAGGCCCTTCACAGAAAACCCTACCCCACTTTTTCATACACTACAGCACTGTCAGTACCGTATATTCCGGCGTACAAGACGACCTCTGATGTTAAAAACCATCCCCCAAAAATCGGGGGTCGTCTTGTACGCCGGGTATACATCCCAGGCGCGCCTGGGCTGCTCCCCCGCCGGAGCCCCTCCGCGGCTTTGAAAGCCTCGGGGGAAGCCGGCGGGGGCGCATCCCAGGCGCGCATGTGCAATCTCCCTGTATTATTTTCCCATTTTTCTGACTTACTCTTGAGGGGAAGCTTTCTAAAAAATGTGGACCAGGATCTTGTGTTATGTCTGAATGTTTTTCAGGCTTGGGCCCTGCTGGAGATACTGTCATAACAAGGCACTTCAGCCAACATGAACAATTCATTTCGCTCCCAGTCTGTAATGTTACCTGTTAAACTATTTGTGAGATTTTGCCTGAACAGAGAAGTAACATTTTTTTTCTAGGACCAGAAGTTTATGATGGCAAGGATGCAATCAGACCACTGTTCACTGTACAGACCTTAATGTTGAAAGTACCAGAGGTGCTGCAGTTTGGTGCATATCAGAGCTATTATAGATTGTCACTGAATTATTGCATATTGCAAAGTGCTCAAACTTGTGTTTTTCAATTTCTTGGAAGGTGAAGGTGACTTGGTGATTAGAGTCTTGCTCTGGTTTAGGACACACAAGAATTGGGTTCAAGAATTGGGTTCAGTTGCAATCTCTAGTACCAGTGAGTGACTTCTCTCTACACCTATAAAATGAAGATAATTTATTATGTTATGAGGTGTTATGAGGACAAATTATCTAATCTCTGGTCTGCTGGGGACCATCTCCAGCAGACCAGGGACACCGGGAGCAAAGGAGGCGGAGGGGCGCTGGGGTATAAGATGAAACCCTATCTTTTAATTAAAAAGATAGGGGGTCGTCTTATACGCCCAGTCGCCCTATACGCCGGAAAATACGGTATTTGTCTCACCACTGTACATGCTCAAACAAGCCCCTTCCAGCTCTGTCTCACTGCCCCCCATTAAGGATTGAGTATAGGGACACCGGGAGCAAAGGAGGCGGAGGGGCGCTGGGGTATAAGATGAAACCCTATCTTTTAATTAAAAAGATAGGGGGTCGTCTTATACGCCCAGTCGCCCTATACGCCGGAAAATACGGTATTTGTCTCACCACTGTACATGCTCAAACAAGCCCCTTCCAGCTCTGTCTCACTGCCCCCCATTAAGGATTGAGTATACATGTGAAACTGAAGAACCAGTGATCTTAAATTTGGTCAAGAGAATGTACTGTAAAGAAATGGCCCTCTTTTTGTTAGTTGGGGGCCTGAAAATAATTAGCTATAAAACCAGAAGAATGGAAAAAGGAGGATGCCTGGTTTAAAGATTAGTAATGAGATAAGGAACTCCTTGCCAGAGGGTGTGGTGAAAGCTAAGACTAACAGGGTGGGACGGACTGGGCCAGGTCTGGGCACAGCTGAGGGCGTCCGCTCAGGGCGAATTGCTCAAGTTCAGGGCTCTCTAGCCCCCAGACTGGAGACCTTCCCAAGGAGGCCACAAACCAGTCCCATAGAGCGCTTCAGCTGCCTGCCTGAAGCCTCACGAGTGAAACCCCTCCAACACCCCAGCAATATCCATGCCCCAGATGGACCCGGGCCTCATACACAGGTGAGGGGTCTTAAAACCAATCTCACCTACCCCGAACAAGTTCTGTCTGGTTCCAAGAAACCAGCCACAGTTCCCAGGTCAATTTACACTCTGGATCTTACCCACAAATCACGCTGAGCCAATCCTTTAGAATCTACAGTCTAAAGGTTTATTACTACAATAAAGAAAAGCATGAGTGTTAAGGTTGTTAAAAGATAATACATTACATGCATCAAATCTCCCAGTTCTCGATGCAGGCTTGCAGCAGAGATGTTATAGCTGCTGGCTTAAAAGTCCTTGTTGCACATCCTATGCCAGGATGGGTCCACAGTTCTTCCCAGCTCGTGAATTCCTGCGAGGCTGCATCTGGGGTAAGAAGCAGATCTGAAGACCAACATGGAGTTGGCCACATGGCATATTTATACCCTCCTTCCAGGTTTCTTCCCAGCTTGCTAGAGTCACATGGCCAGGTGTGTCTTTTGGCCTCCAGAGATCCATGTCAATACGCAAACATTCCTGGCCCATTACTCAACCACATATAGAGAAATATTCAGTACTCATACAAAGTACATGCTTATAACTTCACACACAGACATTATACAATCACATGAATAGCATATAGAGAATCAGAAGAAAGTAAGCTTCTATTTGACACCTCACATGGCCCCCTTTGTGCCACTTTTGGGGCCAACACCCCCCCCAATGAGTGCATCAGTGATCTGGCCTCTTCCCTAAAATTCAGTAATGTGACACAGGGTTTAAAAAAAACCCACTAGATAGATTAATGGAGGTTAGGTGCATCAATGGCTATTAGCCAGGATAGGTAGGAATGGTGTCCCTAGCTTCTGTTTCTCTGGAGGTGGGTGACAGGGGAGGGGGTCACGTGATGATTACCTGTTGTGTTTCCTTCCTCTGGGGTAGGGATGGCCAACCCGTTACAGGCAAAGAGCCAAAATCGTTGTGAATATTGCGCAAAGAGATGGGGGAGTGGGGGAAAGAAAGGTGTGTGTTGTTTTTTTGCTTGACAAAAGACTGCCCCTGTGTTGAGACTTTTTGGCCACATCAGGCTCCTGCCAGCCAACACACCATCTTGAAGATGCCATTTTTAATAGCTGTGCCAGACGGCCCCCCTGCCCGGGTGAGTACAGGAGCAGTTTTCAGGGGCTGCTTCATGAGCTGCACCCTGGGAAGGGGGCAAAGGAGGGGGAAGGACCACATGAGGCTTGTGAGCCACAGGTTGACCACGGCTGCTCTGGGGCATCTGGTATTGGCCACTGTCAGCAGACAGGATACTGGGCAGGATGGACCATTGGTCTGACCCACTATGGCCGTTCTTATGTAAAGTTTCTAAAACAATAGTGATGACTGCAGATGGTTTAAAAGAAGACAAAGATCTGGTTTCAAAAAGTCAACATGGCCCTTCCCATCCTATATACCAGTGTTACCTTAAAATTAAAGCTTATGCAAACCCAGATAGGTAAAAGCTGTTGGTCAACAGAAAGAGGGGAAGAGAAGGGAGGAAAAACCTTGGAAGAGGTAAATTTTATCTTGGTTAAACTTAAATTAGCATAAACTGCCTCAAATTAATTCTTGGAGTGGTAATTAGCTATGGCATTTGTTTGTTGAAGGATATGAAGCATTAGGAATGACCCTTCTTTGTCAGACCCTACCTACTTGTGCTGGAGCATGCCAGGATGGGCCTGTTTTCCTTATATCTGGCCAATGTATAAGTATATTGATCACACTCTGAGCCATGAATACTTTGTCTCTGTACTGGATGTAGTGACTGCTTATTTTAGGCAGTTTAGAGAAATTGTCTAAATACCATTCAAACTTTGGATTTAATAAAGGAATTTATAATTAAATTAGTGTTGTGTTAATACCCTGCATAAATAATTCCACCAGAGGAGTGCCCAATAAATATTAACAGCACACACTCACCTCATTATCCTCCTCCAAATCCCTCTTTAAAAGTCCCCTTTGCTTGCATCCTTACAAAAAACTTGACCACAGCTAAGCTTCTACTGTGCTGAGACCACAGCCTAACATGGGGTATGTCTACACTACCCTCCTAGTTCGAACTAGGAGGGTAAATGTAGGTATACCGCACTTGCAAATGAAGCCCGGGATTTGAATTTCCTGGGCTTCATTTGCAGAAGCGGGGAGCCACCATTTTTAAAACCCCGCTCATTCGAACCCCGTGCAGCGCGGCTACACGGGGCACGAACTAGGTAGTTCGAACTAGGCTTCCTAGTTCAAACTACCGTTACTCCTCATTCCACGAGTCTCCTGCCCATCGACAGCCCCTTCTTGGCCAATCAGGGGAGAATCTAAGGTGTGGGGGGTGGAGCGTTCTCCCCAAAGACACCGGCATAGACTTGTTCCAGCCCCACCTCCCCAGTCCCCACAATGGGGGCTGCATCCCCCACCCCACGGCTCCTGCAAACCACCCCCCGTCCTTCAGCTAGTCTGTTGGGTCCCAAGCTGGGGGAGGCAGCAAGGGAAGGTCACAGAGGAGGCAAGAACAGAGCAGAAATGTGGGGGGATGGAGGAAAAGGGAAACCAACCAGGAGAAAGCCCCAGTGGCGCTAAGGACGCAGCCCAGGTGAGGAATCACCTTCTGGCCCTTGACCGAGGGCTGGGCCTGCCTGGAACCCAGCCGGCCCCGGGCGGGATCCAACCCCTGGGGGCTCTTACCTTCGTCACAAAGGTGTCGGGATGTGGAACTCACAGAACGCGAAGGAACCGTGAGGAGGAGACGCACCAGAGCTAAAGCAACCGGGGGTCTCCAAAGTCCCCTGGGCCCGCCCCCCGCTTTTATCAGCCTGAGATGTGGGTCCCTCTGTGAGGTCACCACCTCCCCACCTGCCCTTTGCCTTATATGCTGAGGGCTGCCCAAAGCCCCTGTGAGGTCAC